CCGTTGTTCTCTTCAGGTCCATCATGTGCGGCTGTTTGCGGGCGAGGAAATCTACAGCGACCTGTACCTCACCGTGTGCGAGTGGCCAAACGACCACACCAAAATTGTCATCTTTGGTTTCAAGTAGGAAATGCTGCCGGCACACTTGAGCTAGCATTCTGTCAGGGCCGACGTTTAGCTAAGAGGGTTTTTTTTTTTTTTTCCCTCTCCGTTCAGTACACGCAGCTCAAGTTCTGTGTTGATGAACCTGATGATGAGCGACGAGAACAACCGGGACATCTACATCACCGTTGCCTCCATGCCTCCGTCCCGGCCGTGCTCAAAGTGCTGTCCGCTTCCTTCGGCCACAACCGTACGGACAGGTGAACCTCCACGCGCGCGCGGCTTGCTCCTGCTCTCTCGCCTCCTTCTCCCCAGCCGCATTAATCCGTTTGTGTCCTGCAGGAAGTGGTGAGTGCCTTGAACACGGGTACGTGCTGAACAGCAGGTACCAGGTGGTGTACCCGTTTCCCACCTTTCAGCCAGCTTTCCAGCTGAAGAAGGACCAGGTCGTCCTGTTGAACACTAGCTACTCTCTGGTGGCCTGTGGCATCTCGCTCTGCCCCGGTGAGGCCAAAACACAACGAGAACGATCTAAACAGTCGGCGTGGATGCATGCGACCCTTTCACGCCTAATGCAAAATAGAGTTAAAGTGGTGTTTAACTTCACATCCACTTTAAATACACACATCACAGGTCAGGTTTTGTTTTCTCCCCTAATCTGTGTTCACTTTATTTTCAGAAAAACAAGATCAGTCATCCCAGATCCTTTACACAAAGGGAGCTGCGCAGTCAACTCAAACCTCATCATCTCTTTCCTCGACATCACCCGACTCTTCATCGTTACCCCAGGGATCTCCAGAGAGCCGGCTTTTCCCCTGCAGGCCCCCTCCGGTTCCCTCGTCGCCCAGCCAATCGCAAGCAGCCATCAGAGCCCGGGAGTTTGCAGCCGACCTCTTCCGGCGAGCCCAGGGAGGGTTTGGAGCGGCGAGAGAGACCGAGCGCCCCGGGGAGAGGAGAACAGCCGACGGCGACGAGAAGGAGGCGCCGCATAAAGCGGCAGACAAAGGGATTAACACAGACCCCTCGAGAGCGGAGGAGGATTGCAAAGACAGGAGAGCGGAGGACAGACGGACTAGTTCGCAGCAAGCGTCTGCGTCGTGCGGAAGCCCTCGTCTCGCCGCGTCTCCCGCCTCTCCTCCACCGTCGCTTCCATCGACCTCGGCGCCGTCCTCGAGCCAGGATCCGAGCCCCAGCGAACCCGGATACGTCAACTACTCCCGTCTCCACTACCGCCTCCAACAGCAGGGGGCAGCAGAGCAGAGTTCAGGAGGAGCCGGAGGTGAGGGTTTCAGTGTCTCTGAGTTCCTTCCACACTTTCCTCAGTAAACTAATAGTTTGTTTTTCCAGGCTACGAGGACGATAAAGTCCAGCTGCCCTTCACTGTCACCGATCTAAAAGGGAGAAACCTGCAGCTGATCACTGGGCCGCATAATGGACAGGTGTGTGTGTGACATTATGTTAGAGAATACATCCGTCTGGCACAACCTTAACGGGAGGTAAAAATAAATGCTTGATATGACTTTTGAAATCACATACTGACCTGCTTCTGCGTTAGCTGTAATGTTGTGGCGTTTCCATGGTGTTTTGCGCTCCTTTAATTGAATATAAGGTCGCAATAACGGAACAAACCGTTTAATTTCCCATTTGGACGGTTTCAAGCTGCCTCTGTGTTTCTGTGGCAGAGTGTTTGTGTAGAACAACTCACTCTGGACTTCGAGTATCTCATCAACGAGGTGATCAGGAACGACGCCGCCTGGGCTCCTCTGTTCTGCTCCTTCAGCGATTATGACGTCGTGATCCTAGAGGTAAACACACACCCGCTCACTCGGCACGAGTCGCAAAGTTCAAACCAGTAAAGAACATCTGCAGAATTGGGACATGTGCAGTTAAAGCAAGAGTTTGATTTTTATTAAAAGCTTTTCGTTCAGCGGCTCCCAGAAATCTTCAGACCGCTGCTAAAATGTCAGCATTTTTTTTTTCCAGTTAAACTGTGTAGATATGGAAACAAAATCTGTTTTGGCTACAAACCAGTAGCAGAAAAATCTATTTGTTCACTTATCACAAAGCGTACAGTTTATGCAGAATCACCATTTTCACACATTGCATGTTTTCTATTCTGCAATCCTGGTTTATGTAACATAGGACAACGAAGAAAGATGTTAATAGTAGGAACAGTACAAAAACTGCACATTTTATATATATATATATATATACATACATACACTTTTTGAAAACTTTGTTTTTGTGTGAACCTTTAACCTGATGCTGCTGTTACACCCAAATCTGTCCTTTGCTGGACAATGGAGTCTGTTCTATTCTATTCTAAAGTATCTCTTGTAATCTGGCTGTACAGCAGGAATCCTCTAGAGTCTGGCTTATTTAACATGATGACAAATGAAAAATGTCAGATGGATACATAAAGAGGCCTTGATGCTCCTCAGGTTTGCCCAGAGACCAACATTGTGATGATCAACATTGGCCTGCTGCTGTTGGCGTTCTCTGTCTCAGACGAGGAGCACTGCAGGTACTCTTCCTCTTCCTCCTGATTCTCCTCTTTAGCCTTTCAGCTCAGCGTTTCTCTCATCTCCGTTCTCATTTCGTGTCTTTCAGGCCAAACACGTACCATTCTAACCTGCAGGTCAGTTGGGACCTTAACACAGGCGTGTGTCGCACTGTGGGTGTGGGTGACCTAACGGAGGTCAAGGGGCAGACTAGGTGAGCACGCACACACACAGATCTGGCTGTTCCTTGAAAAGCTGAGTGTAAGGGTCATTCCTCTCTGTCCCTGGTAGTGGGAGTGTGTGGAGTTCCTACAGAAAGTCGTGTGTGAACACCGTGATGAAGTGGTTGGTTCCTGAGAGCAGCTCCCGCTACATCAACCGCATGACCAACGAAGCTCTGCACAAAGGTGAGCGTAGGCTTACACACACACACACACACACACATATACATCTGTGTCACGTCATCAGTCTTGTCACATTAACTGGGATGAACATAAAAATAATTTTGGCCGTTTTTATCGATTAATCTAAATTTTGGTTTTTGAAAGATCTGGATTTATTTATTTTTTTTTCCACCAACGCTGTCCTCTTAGTTTCCATAGCGATGTGACGTCAGCACGCCCTGAGCCGCCATCTTGCTTGACAGCCGTGTTTTACAGCTTCTGTTTTCCTGGACTCAGCGCAGTACTAGGGCTGGGCTAAGATTTTTTTTATTATTATTTTTAATTACGAGAATAAATCAAACAATTACCAGGATCCAGTCGTAACATTAGACAAATGAAGTAGTACTTTTATGAGAACTTCAACATGACAACATAAAAGTAAAAATGAGGACTGGTGAGCATCATGTGAAGCTGTACTTTGGTATCAGTTACACAGATAAGGAAATATTTCATCTTTTAACACATTGACGTTAAATTATTAAATTAGCAGGACTTTCAAACGATGGCGGAAATAAAAGTTAAGTTCCATCTGTTAATCCATTTGTGCCTCCATCCATCCACTCGTCCTATAAATTGATCCTTCCATCCTTCCATCCAGTTTATTAAGTTAGGAGATTTTTACAGCTTTAAGATGAACTGAGAAGTCTGGAAATTTGAGTAAAAATCTATAAAAGTTTGTTGTCCGAATCCCCGCCTCATTTTAACTGTGGGGGGAAAAAAACACATTGTTCCTACAAAATGTTCTAAGGTCTTGATCAACTTGTCTCGCTCAGGCTCATCTCTGCAAGTGTTGGCAGACAGCGACCGATGCACTTGGATTGTATTATGAAGGGAAATTTGGAAGTAACAAGAGTTACAGAAACCAAATCACACATTCACCCAAGAAGACGCGTCGTCTCCTTCAGCGAAGAGTTCACGTCACGGCAGCACTCTTCCACTGCAGGGGGTTTAAGTTTAAAAGTGTAATTAAAACTAACCAAACAAAGGCTTGTCTGCTGCAGATTTGTTTGGTTTATGGATTTGTAGCTGTTTTGTAAGTCTTTACTGTAATGTTGCAGCCACCGAAACCAAGAGCTGAACTGAACAAAGATGTCATTTGTACTTAGTTTTCTTGTTTGTTTTGTTTTTGGTTTTTTGTTTTTTACACAGGAAGGTATGCTGTTGATGTTTGACTGACTTTGCGTTTGTTATAATTCAGTGTGGGTTTATTTGTGAGGATGAGTGTGACGTGAACGTTGAAACTCGATGCGTTCGGCTGCTTCTGAACAAGTGTTTCCTCTCAGTCTGGGTCAGTTCAGTCCGCTGCAGTGTTTTAAACCAGAACCAGGTCTGTACCATTCTCATATTCCTGTCATAATCATCTGCCAACTGGATTAGAAATGACTGTCTGACTGGAAATATTTTGTTAAATTAAAATATCTGAATTAAATTACATGTTGTTTTGAGCTTTTGTGTTCACAACCTGACAGATTTTTAACCGTGGCTTCATGTTACACGATTGCAGTTTAAAGAAGCAGTGTTATGCGTTTTCCAGGCACAGGCTGTAATTTTCTAGCACAATTAAGTAACTGTTATGTTGATTTACTATAAAAATGCCATAAATATCAAGCATAAAAGAAATTTGACTTTGCATTTCACCACCTTGAAATTGGCCTCTGTCTCTTTAAGAAGCTCCTGTTCTTTCTGTGGCATCTTTAAAAATCTGGAAGCTGCTTGGTTTAGCTGGAGATTAAATTACGTTTGCAAAAGCATCTGATGGAAGGAAGGGTGAGGCTGGAGTTTATTTACTTAAAAATAATATATGTAACGTTATGTCAGAGTTAAGACTGATCAATGTAATTTTAAAAATATTCAAATTTAATTTGAACTTTAACTTAAAGACCTAACCTGGCATCTTGATCAGATGAGAGAGACGTGTTCAGGTGAGGAACAAAGACGGGACAAAACTCAGGCGTGGAGAGGAATCACATCTCTTTACTTGAAGGGATGAAGCTACAAACGTCGATCACAGGTTTAAGTACAAAGATCTCCAGTATAACATCAAGAGGACAAAATTTAGAAAAAAGGTTCCCCAATACAAGCAAGGAACAAATTCACAAACTTTGACATCAAAAGGTTAATTTATATTCTTCAAGTCAGATATTTCTGTCATGTACATTTAAACGGAACATTTTTTTTTTTTCCTTTGCAAAGATCTTTGGTGGGATCTCAGTGAAGAGATGGTCCTGAGAGACATCCCACTGCTAGAATTTTTAGTTTTACACTTGGAACATAAAAGTCTGTTTTTGTTTTGCTCATGCAACACAAGAAGCTGCAGGATGTGAGCATTATGTTCTTTGGAGGAGGGACAGGGGGGGTGAGGGGGGTCCACACAGATCCACCATATTTCACATGCTGAGACTGTTATCACAGAGGAAACACGCGCCGTGTTTTCACTCCGGATGATGGACGTTAGGACAACATCTTAAGGCAATAATGGTTAGACGACATTAAAAAATAGAGCAGGTATAGATATTTAACCGTTTTTCACAAAAGATACGCAATAAAATTCATCCACAGTATGCCATTTCATAAAATAAACATCAACTTTCTTCTCTACAAAAACCTCTAGAGACAGGCTGCGGCTGGTACGACACAACGGAAATGTTCCCAAAGAGCCGGGATGGGCTTTGGCCTGACCACGTGACCCGCTGAAGAGGGCCACGGCGTTGTAGAAAGAGTGTGTGTGTGTGTGTGTGTGAAGGGGTTGCACGTAAACCTAAAGATGGGTGAAAGGGAGAAAAGAAAGAAAGACCATCACCTAGCAGGAGTGCCACCATCTTTTTTTTAAAATAAATATACAGCGCCTTGCAAAATTATCCATACTTTTTTTTTTTTTTTTTTTTTTTTTTTTTACATTAGAACCAAAAACTTATATTTTTTGTTTTTTTTATTGGGATTTTATGTGACGGATCACTTGGAAGTAATGAGCAACTATCAAGTGGATGGAAAATATTAGTTATATTTTATCTTTGTAATAAATAGTCTGAACAGATTTCCAGTTTTCCACAAGCGAAGCAGAGGACACATGCTGTGGGAATACTTTTTGTTTAGCGGGAATAAGAAAGAAGAAAAAAAAAAAAAAACTTGTGGGAAAAGAATTCAGCGTCTAGACGTAGAAAGGTGGTAGAAACGTATCCCAAAGAGACATGAAGCTGAAACTTGAGTTGATGAAAGATGATTTATGCAAATATCTGATTGACTGCAAAACAAAAACAAAAGCACATATTTTTTTCCTTCCACGTAACAGTCGTAAAGTACTTCCCGGTGATCTGCTCCATGAAAAATCCCAACAAAATCCCAACAAAGTCCACTCTGAGATGCGATTTCAAACAAAGAAGTAGAAAACGTTCAAAGGGTGTGAATACTTTTGACAGGCACACTAGTTACTCACCGTACAGTTCATGACAACACCAAGACCACTTCACAGGACATTCATTTATTAATCCACAATGCAGAATAGAATGTGTGTGTTTATATAGATCGCAAACTTTTTAGTTTTTTTTTCTTAAGATTAGAAATCTCTTAAAGGCACAGATCATCAGTTAGGTGGCCAAATCAAAAACAAACTAAAAAAAAAATAAAATAAAATATGGCAACCTCACCTAAAACTGTTCAGACATAATTCACGCTGCTGTATCGTTGCAGATGCTACTCTTAGATGTCCGTTTCTTACAGAGACATTAATTAAAGTCCTGCACACCCTCCCCCCGCCCCCTTGCACCCCACTGCATAGTCATTTCATTAAAGGCAAGCAATGGGTTTGAGTTAAAGAAGTACTGCTGAAGGAGACGGGACGATTCTCAGCGCTCCACAGCACTCAGGTCAGTGGTTAAGGCAGGACAGGAGGGAAGTCAAGAGCGTAATGTACTGACAGGTCAGGCTTTACAGGCGTGGGCGCTGGACAGACGGGGGAAAGGCACAGGGAGCGAGGGGAGAAGGGCCGGAGACGGTCGAGTGAAGGCAGAGAGGTCAACGACAGCAACACAACGGTACAGAACAGAGAGAGAGAGAAAAAAAAATTTAAAAACATTTTAAAAAATCTGAGATGGGCTCGTCCACATTCCCACGTTTCACAGACATGATGCAGACCACCGTGGTTTCAGGACAGGATGGCATGATCTGAAACGTGAAAGCGCACGCGGTCAGCTCAGGGCGATGCGCCGTGGGCCTGGGTCAGGGCGTGGTGCAGGTTCAAGCTGGTCCTGGGCTGCTTGGCCGGCGGCTCCATGTCGCACTTATCCTCGTCCACCTTCAGGGAGCTGGACTGCAGCATGATCTCGCCGCTCTCCTCCTCGCTGTCCTCCTCGTCGTCGTCCTCTTCTTCTTCTGGCGGACAAATGTCGGCGGTAAGGACGAGAGCACGAGCGGAAGCTGAGCGCGCATGGCCGTCACAGAGGAAAATACATCTTCGGACATTGTTACACAGTAACGTGATAATCAGACTGTACAAATGTGACGACTTCCTCCAGACGGTGGCGGTAGTGAGCTTTAGGCTGCACTGAGAGACTCAACAGGGGAAGGTGTTTATATACCAGCCTAATTTGGGAATGTTATGAGAAATAAATGGCTAAATATTTGGCTGGCTTATTGTTGCTATTCCTACAAAAACAGTGTCGTAGAAATCAACATCCCCATGAAATTAGGTTCTAGATTTACGCAGCATCAACCGCTTCCTTTGCCTTCGTTCCAAACTGCTGGAATCAAGAAATTTGAACTAATGTCTTCAGCCCGTCAATTAGGAAAGCTGATGAAATCATCACATTTATACCACATAATTATCTCGTTTTGTACAACATAAGCGTGACGCTGTAATGTGACAGTGTGATAACGTTCAAAAAAGTATTTTCCTCCGTGACAGCAACGCTCCTCTGTGCATCAGGGATGTTTTCTTTACCTTTATCCAGATCTGGAGAGTTTCTGTTCTTAATGGTGCTGGCAAACTGCAACAGAGAAAAGACAAAACAGCAAAGATGAAAAGAAGATCGAATCAAAAAAAAAAAAAAAATAGCACCTTGCGCCGAGACAGAGGAAGAGCGCGTGGCGTTACAACGTACTTCTCCCATGACTGCGATGGGCGTCTCCCCTTTGGCCTTGGCCACCCTGTGCTCGATCAGGTAGTACATGTACTCGTCGTACAGCAGGCGGATCAGGTGGAAGGAGCCGAAACTTGCGGCGCTGCGCAGAGTCAGGTCTCGGATCACCATGGAGCTGGGGAAGAGGGAGGTCATGTACAAAATGTACATTGAAAGAAAAAACTTGAAGGGATTCCTGGTCCGGGTTTCAACCAACTTAAATTTAAGACTTTTTTTTTTTTTTTTAGACAACTATGAATGGAATTTAAGACCTGCGTCTCCACAGGAACGTACAAACTTCATCCAGCCAATCTGGCAACAAACGTGCACTTACCTATAGAAGGACCAGTTGAGCAGAAAGACTTTGGCCGCCTTGGGCAGCGACGCCGGGTTTTGCTCGTAGGGCTTCAGCACCTGGGAGACGACTCCGTCCAGCCAGGACGCCCACTGCTCCAGGGAGTTCTGCTGCTGCAGCGTGGCCTTGAAGTCCTGCTCCAGCCGCTGGACCACGCGGTCTTCACACTGACACACCCAGGATGCCTGCTCCTGAGGACGGGGACACGGGGCTCAGTGTCCGGCCCCGCGGAGACGGGCGGACAGCGAGCATCGGCACCGACCTGCACATTGGTGAAATCGACGCGGTTGAGGTCGGAGAGCATTTGGTTGATCTGAGCTGAGTTCTTGAGGACGGCGCGGGCGGCCTGCGCCAGATGGTTCAGGCTGGTGTAGCGACGTAACGTCTGGGAGAACGAGCCCACGCACACCACCTGGAAACGAAACACGTAGTAGCCTTAGCAAACGGCTGAACGTCAGAAAATCACAACATAAACATCAATGTCAAGTTGTTGATTTTTTTTTCAACAGACGAGACGTAAAAATGAGGAAACGCATTTTCTCGACGTTTTGCTAAGGTGCTCATTTCTCCACATTTGTCATCTTACAACCAGATTTTAATTTGTGGGTCACAGTTTCGCAAAACATTTTGGGCCCCGCTAATCTGGGCATTCAAATTTTACATAAATCCCACCAAAAAGGCGGTTTGAGGAAATAACACGACAGAATGTGGAAACGCTCACGGGGTGTAAATACTTTTGCAAGGTTCTGCATTCAAAGACATATTTAAACTTCTAACATGTTTCTAAAGCATGTTTCTAAATTAAGTTGTTCAAGTAGTAAAACTAAACAGGAAGTCTAAAACAACACAGCATGGCAACCCGTCTGTAAAAGTTCTCGCACCTTGATGCGAACCATTTCCTCAGGGATGTTCATCATGGCGCCCGTCAGCCAGTTCTCCAGACTCTTGGCAAAGTTGCGGATGGCCTGAGTTAAGGCACCTAAAGGTGGGAAATTTGTTATTAAGACAACGAAACGTAACCATAATCGCTCTAAACATTTGAAAACAAAAGGATCCGTTTTAAAACAAGCTAAATATGCAACCCACTGATTAAAAAAAAAAAAAAAATCACCACATTTACTGTAGTTTTTTTTATCACAAATTATTTTACATATTAACATGAACAGATTAGATTTTTTTTTTTGCTTTAAGTACAAATAGATGAAAAAAAAACAAAAAAAACGCTGCTACATCAGCACGCCCTTGTTCTCTGATCGCCACGTTTGACGCAGCTGAGAGTCGATCTCCGGGTTTTGTCCTCGCTGACTTACTGGGGATGGGTCTCAGCACGTCTGGGATCAGGATCTCCACCAGCGTCTGGTAGAGCAGGTTATCGCAGTCCCTGGTCCAGCGCAGCACCGGTTCAAACTTGCACAGAGCCACCAAACAGGACCTGGGCAACCGTTTCTCAGACTCGTCGTGACTGACGGAGGAGTTGCACAAGAGAAGAAGAGTGTTTCTGTCTGTCCCGTCGCAGGCAGCGAGCAAGGTCAGGCTGCGACCTTAAACGTTCATTTATCTTATTGGGATTCTATGTGATGAAGGAGCCCACAGTCAGGAAGTGGAAGAAAGATACAAGGTTTTTTTTTTTTTTTTTTTATTTGAATAGTAATATGTGACACGTGCCACTGTGTCAATAAACTATTTGTTAATAAAGTGACATTTAAAAAGTTGGTTGTACTGAATTTTGCTTAGGGATGTCAGAGTAAAAAGGGGGCTAAATCCAGAGGCACACCACACTTTTTAGATTGGTATTTTTGAAAAAGATTGATCATCCTGTCACTTCACTTCAGCGTCACATAAAATCCCAATAAAATGAGAATACGGATATCATTTCTTGATCACCAGAGGTGACCCAGAAGTTACTCCAGCCAAAGTGCTAAATATTAGCAAACACAACCATCAAATAAATAAAACTAAATAAAAACAAATATGTACATGGAAACACGCGAGTCTATAAATCTACAAACGAATCCAGAGTGAATGTAAAGGCGCCGAGTGGGCCGATGGCTACATGCAGAAATGACTTTCTGTGACAAAGTTCAAGGGGGGGATAATGAATCCTTTTGAGAAATTCTACTAAGACGTTCATAATCGTGTTTAAGAAGCTTACAGGTTGAGCGATTCTGCGTCGTTGCTCTGGCTGAACCTCCAGAAGGATTTCCACAGAGTCTCAACCAGAGTGAACTGAAGGTTGATCATCACATCCAGAACAGCCTGCAGGAAGAGGGAGAGGGAAGAGTGTTACGTCGACGTTCGACTAGCCGGTTGGAAATGTGTAAAAATCCAATAAGATAAAAAAATTAAAAAAATATGCAGAAACAAATGGAATGCCGTCAGCGAGTAAAGCCGTCCGGTTCCTACCTCACAGTGCTCTCTGTACAGAGCCTGGAAGGCCTTCAGGTGCTCCAAGTGGATCCCGTCAGGCAAGGCTTGATCTTGCAGATCAATTTTCACAAATTCTGGCAGCAGCTTCGATGCTTCTGAAAGCACAAAAAAAAAACAAGACAACAAACACTTAACTTTTTTTTTTTTCTTCTCGTTTCAAAACAAAACAAACAAAAACACAAAGGTGTTAGCATCTGTAGCCTTTCGCTTCGTCATTGGGCTAAGAAGAAATCAGCTGCTGTGATAAAACCACGCAACAATAAAGAGAAGGGGAGACATTTGGGAGTTCACGTTTCTCACCGAGGAACTGCTGGTACTGTTGCACCTGGGCTGAAATATCAGAGAGCCCCGCCGCCTGCTGCTGACCCGCCACGCCCGATGTCCCGTTGGCGATCCCCTGCGTCTTCTGCAGTGGCTTTATCCTGTCAAAATCGTCAGGGAAATGCATCAGAGCGCACAAAAACTGTCAGAATACGACACATGGAAAAGCAGCTCATACAACACAAAACAACAACAACAAAAAAAGTTGAAAATGCATTTCAGATGTTACCAGATTTTTCACTGGATTTAGGTCTGGACTTTGACTAGGTCATTCTGACACATGAATATACTTTAATCCAAACTAATTTGACTGCAGCTCTGGTTGTAAATTTAGATTGCAGATATTTTTTTACACATCTGCTCCATTCATCTTCCCATAATCTCTGTCCTTGCTGAAGAAAACATGCCCACAGCACAATGATGCCACCACCACGTTTTATCACTGCTAAGATGCCATTTTGTCTATGCGTTATGGAAATGTATTCAAAAACATTAAAATGAGTGTTTTACATGTGAGACTGTGTACTGTACAAACTGTGGGCAGTTCCATATGATTGGTCAATCACCACTAAAATGATTAGTTTGTATTTCAGTCAATCCGCTTCTTTAAACTATGATACAAGTATTGTATTTTTCACATAGTGCCATTTTATAGCACAATCAAGTAATTATGTTAGCTTCAGTTACTATAAATGTGCTTAATATATCAAGTTAAAGGAAATCTGATTTCACAATTTAGCACCTTGAAATTGGGACTCCGCCTCTTTAAGAAGCTGCTTTTCTGTCACACTCCACCTTCAGCATATCATCACAGCAACGTTTCTCCACTAAGCTTTTAACATTATTCTTAGAAGCAGTTTGCATGATGAGCTCAGCAGGTCGTCGGGTGTTTGCTAATTGCTGCTGCCGCTAGTTTGAAGGAGCTGAGTGGGGAAGGTGATCCGCCTTACGGTGATCCATGAGGCAGAAGAGTGGAAACTGGAGGAGCTTTGTGGAAACACATGTTGCTTTTTGAGAACAAGCACTTGGGGACCCCGTGAATGGTTGCCACAGGGGATTCGAGGACTTCTCAAACGTGTGTGAAAGAACTAAGGTAACACTCCAGGTGTGTTTTTAATGAGGGGATTAACATTATAGCATGGCGTGAAGCTCAAAACTTAAGCCGATACCTGTTTTTCTGTGAGAAAGGCTGCTGCCTCATGGCCATGTGCTGCTGCTCATCCATGAGTCTGAGCAGAGGGGAGCCGGATTTGATCCGCAGGCCGTAGTAGTGGTACTTGGAGTTTCCTCTGCAGAGGAACGCAAAGAGAAGAAGTGATGCCTTCGCCCTGGATGCCGCTCCCCACGTAATTCGGGTAAAATGTGTCTACCTGGTGCCCAGTCTTCGCGTGCGGAGCCCCATGAAGACGGACCTGATGAGTTTACCAAAGGACGCGGCGTTAACTGGCTCTAGTTTCTGCTCCTGGCAGTGCAGGATGTAGTGGTAGTAGAGGGTGCAGCGGGGCAAGCTGACCCCTTCTGCCCCCTCGTAGTTTTCCAATAACCACTGGACCTGAGTGGAGGGAGGGAGGAAACGGACGGAGGACACCGCGGACATGAATGGACTGGACTTCCTGGTCACCGCATCTCATTGGATCTCATATACTCACAGTAGCGGGAGGGGCGCGAGAGTTGGGGTTAGAGTAACTCTGTGCTCCCCCTCCCCCACCTGCTGCTGCGCCTCCTCCTCCCAACAGATAGCCCCCCTGGATGACATATCCCGCCGCTCCCGCAGCGCCAGCCCCGCTGTTGGCTCCTGCCGTCGCCACGGAAACCGCCTGCGAAGTCACAGATCCGGGGAGGTCCGAGTCGGGGCTGGGCGTGGCCTCGTAGAAGGCGGAGGAGGACGCGGGAGGGGTCTGGGTGTAGAGGGGCGAGTCGGAGAAAGGGAAGCTGTTTGATCGACTGGAGGAGAGAGAGAGGGGAAAAAAAGAAAAAAAGAACTGATATCAACACCTGCAGACAGAATGTTTCCACCTGCGTGTCAAAAAGGACCGTGAGGCGACGCATACATTGCGGATGTGGTAAACGCCGCGTCTTCTGCTCCATCCACGTACTGCACCTGGTCCGAGTAAACGTGCTCCACCTGAACAATCAGGAAAGAAGAGATTAGCATTAATGGTTTCCAGCCACATGGCAACGAAACTGCATTCCTTTCTTAATCCATTGGGATGAGCATGATGCAGGATTTTTGGGCGAGTTTTAGAATCTTTAGGACATTTGTGAGGTCAGACACTGATGTTGGACAAGAAAGACAGACTCCAATTCATCTACAATCTCCATTTTCTACCACAAAAATGACACAAAATTGTCCAAAATGTGCTTGTATGCAGAAGCATGAAGTTATTTTCATTGAAAATAAGGGGTGTGGGGGGGGGGGGACAAAGATTATAACTAAAAAATAACAACAACACAAGGTTAGTGAAAATAGTTGACAGAAAAACACTTTGGGCTTCAAATTATTCCTGCTGTATATTTCTGCTAGTTTCCTTTGGCTGGAACAGCAAATGTGACTCATGCCTGATATGACTGAGAGTCAAACGCAAAAACCAAACAATCGTTTACAAAAGGTTGAAGGAGATAGATAAAATAAACAAAAAAAATAAACAAGATAAAATAAAAAATAAAAAATAGGAAAATACTCTAATATAGCTAATGTTATCATGCTGGTGGTTTTATTTTGTAGGAATCCTCCATTCCTGTCATTTTCATACATTTCAGAGAAAGTCAAATACTTAGCCAGTATATTTTAGTCCTTCAAAGTAACTAAAGGGAGAACATTTTTGGGTTTTGGTTTTTAGAATCGACATTTTTGAGGCCACCTTTAGTTTTAAATGTTAGTTTTAAAAAAAAATATTCAAAAATATCCGAAATTAGCACATCAAAAAATTTAAGCTTCGGTGTACTACAGCAGTCTATTTCTTCCACGTTCTCATTTTCACTTTATTATTATTTTCTTAGGAGGCACCATAAAGTGACTACTTCATTCTACTAATATTGCAACTTTATGTATGAGTTTATTCCCAAATAGTTAATAGTACTTTTTTTGTCACAATAATATGACTTTATTCTCAAAATTAAACAAATTCTTAGCCTGGTCTTGATCCTCGGTTGAAGCCAGATCTCTGATCCAAGGCAGTTTGAAGAGAAAGGGAGCACAGGTGAGCAAAGGGGCTGAGTTTTTTTTTTTTTTGTTTGTTTATCAAACTAATAAAACTCATTATCAGGAAATCAGTCGGTGCCCTGTTACCACATCCACTTACTGACCAGACCAAAAATATTTAGCAGAGGGTTAATTTAAACGACAAACAATAAACTCACACCTTGTTTGTATAATCACAGGATCTTTAAAAAAAATAATAAAAAAACAAGCCGTTTCTAAAAAACAAAAAGAAAAACAAAAACAACCAATTAAGATCCAAATTTTCACTATGAACCAATCATTTTGACCTCCTTGACTTGAACTTTGAGCTTTCTCCCACAGAGTGCAATGTTACGTAATCAGCAACGAAGCCATGTTACGCATCTTTTGTCTAACTACAAAGATGCGACTGAGGAATAAAATTCATGTGACATTACTGCACCAATCAGAGCCTACCTTATCTTATCTAGTGTGTACTATGCAGAGAGAGAGAGAGAGAGTCTGTTTACCTCCTGGTTAATATGCACAGACTGCAGGCTGCTGATGTGGCCTGTCTGAATCCTCTTGGTTGGCTGCGTCACTGCCTGCAACACTGACCTCTGTGGGAGAGGTAATCCCAAACTCGTCAGTTAAGGCAGGCTGCTGCACAGTCGTCTGCGCAGCAGCCTGTGCATTGTGCAGTTTCTCACCTGTGGCGGAGTCTGCACGGCCTGGACCACCTGAGTGGGGATGCCAGGAGCAGGTGGGCTGGAGTCCGACAGGCTGTCGTTGGAGTGAGCCGAACCCTCTGAAAGACAGGAGAGCAATGGAGGAGGGAGATGTTCACAAGAAGAACGAGACAAAAAAAAAAAAAAAACACAAAAAAAGCAAAAAGGACAGACGCAGAGACCCCAACAACAAGTTTGGTACTCACGAAAAACCACCTCCAAGTCATAATAACAGCCGCTGCAAAACATATTGCTGCTTAATTTCTTTTTTCTGCTCCACGGAGCAAACATGGAAGAGGGAAAGTGTGTCTGTCCATCTCTCCCCTTCTGTCCTTATATCTCGCATGCAAAAGGACAGCCTTGGACAGCTAATCTCCCCAGATGGAGAGAAAAATCCCTCCATCTTGTAAACATGCAGATCAGATGAGAGAGGGAAATGAGAGGTGCATGTGGGCCGACGGACGGGAGGAGGAAAACAAAGGATGGAGAGCAGGCAGTGGAGAGGGCAATCACTTCTTTGTAACCTTCAGGATTTAAATTAAAAAAAAAAACCCCGGAGCAGAACCCTTCTTATCGTGTTGCTTTATTTTTTTTCTTCAAACCTTGGCTGAAAACAGCTAAGCTACTGAGCTTCCACCTAACTGTGGCACATATGAATATTAAAGTTGGTAAACTATAGATCAATTCTCACATTAGATGTGCCTAAAGTGGCTTTTTTGTAAACCCCCCCCCCCCCAACAAAAAAAAAAAAAAAAAAAACAAAAGGAGAAAGAAAAAAAAGA